CAGGAATGCCCAAATCTGGGCCGTCGGCCTCTTCAAAGGTGGTGGTCATCCTCGGCCAGAGTTGGAGGTCATCCTCCTTGTCACCATACACGTGGTACCTCAAGAAGCCGAGGGCGGTCATCTTGTATTCAGTAATGTAATCCTTCACGCTCCTCGGCCCCCCTTCCAAGAAAGCCTCCACCTGAGCGTCCAAAATAGAGCTCTTCGGCGGGTCATGCAGGTTAAACCTCCCGGTGTGGCCGAGGGAGGGAAACTCGGTGCCACTCTCACCTAGGGACACAAAAACGAACTTGCTCTTCCACCCATGAATGGACGTAGGCAAGTCCGTGAAGCTCCTCTTCTTCGGCAGCTGTTGAAGAGTAGCATAGGCCGCACAGTTCTTGTGGCTTCCTCGGCCGATCTGGTACAGATTCATAAATAGTGCCATTGTCGGCCTGTAGCCCAGCTCCTCACACCGGAGCAAAAACCCCACCATCAACGAGTAGCTGTTCGGCGTCAGTAAGGCCGGAGGAAGCCCTACCATGTCCAGGTACTCAGTGATGAAAGGGTGAAGGGGGAACCTCAACCCCTTAGCAAAACTCATCGGGTATACTCCAAAGTATCCCGGTGGCGGAAGAAGAACATGGTCCGTCGGCCTGGGTGCCCTAACTCGCCCGAACGGCCCAACGTACATCTGGGCAACAAGATAGTCGGCCGCACTGCTCTCCGGCTTGATCAGGAAGATGTTGGTGAGATCCAGGTAGGAGATGCCCGGCCCACTCTTCGGCCTCCTCACTCTCTTCGGCTTAGCGGCTCCCTTAACGGCGGACACCGGCCTCGGGCACGGAATGACAGCGGAAGTGGACGCCCCGTCCACCACTCGGGACGCACCTGCGTCCTCACCCCTTGAAGAAGAGGCGGACTCCTCGTCCTCGACCTCGTCGTCCACCAGCTCTTCGGACTTGTAAGGACTCAAATGTTGTATCTCCTCCCCGAACTCCTCGAGCACCTCATAGTCAAGTGACCTCGTGGAGGGCTGGTCGACGTAAGGGTAGTAGTCTTCGTTCAAGCTCTTCATCACAACAAACTACTACGAGCCTAAGGGAAGTAACTTAGGTTCTAAGGGTGTTCAAACGCCTAACACTAAATCACTAGCCTAGGAAGCAAAGTATGCACAAAGTAAAGAAGATGGCGATGAACACTAACCTTGAACAACGAAGAACAAGCTTGGGAGTTTATCTCTCTAGAAAAATGGCCAGCACTTCGACAATTCAGAATGCAAATGTGGTTTCTCGTCGGAGGGGGAGGGGTATTTATAGAACCCCCCCACCCAACGGTCACTACACGTGGCACCCTCCCAATGGCCACAACAACGGCAACCAATGGGAGGCCACCACGTCACCAACGGGCCAGGCCCAACCCACATCAACAGCCCACCGGCAAATCAGACTCCACGGCCTACACGCTTGCCGGTTTTACAAGTACCAGCAAGGGCCCACAACGTCCCATTTGCTTGCCAGGAGACGACAACGGCCAGGAACGCAACAAACGCCCATAATGGCCACAGAACAAAATGAACAAAGAGCCCACAGCCATCGGCTCCTCGTACTAACCCTTGATGATAACTCTCTACAAGCGATCTGCGCACAAGGGTTCTCCCACAGGGTTACCTTGGCCAGAAAATCGTCATGAGGGTTGGATTCAGGGGGACTACGGCGAGGCCGCTTCGGCCAGGGACTCAAGCAACTCCTTCACCCCTCTCACTCTTCGGCCTGAAGCAGTGGGGGACTGGGGGACTACATCGGCCTCAACAAAACAAACAGGAACAATACAAAGAACATGGATGTAACCACAAAGCATGGCCACATCGTCCACGCATCACAATGGCACCTCGTCGGCTAGAAGCACATAACATCATCAACAACGGCCAAAAGAAGTGCGCAAGCACCCTCATCGACCACCCAAAGGAAAGGACGCCATCGTCCTCAAAGGGAGCAACCTCAACGGCCTCATCGGCCCAAAGGTAAACATCAACCATCAGCGCCCAAGCAAAACGTGCCTTCAACGGCCACCATTGAAAGAAAGACACTCATCACCCCCAAACGAACACTTTAAGGAAACTACGGCCTCCCCGCCCACACTGAGGAACGGGTAACGGCCAAAGCACAGAACAGGATCACCAAAAAGGAAACAACGCCAACGCCGCAACGGCTAACAGCCCGGGGATGCCCGCATCGGCCAAAAGCACTAAAACACGAGAATCTACTCTCCTTCACTTCGTCTACGTCTCAGCTTAGAGAGTGGGGGACTCCTGATGGAGTATATGGGTCTGAGCCCCCGGACCCACATACTCAGAGGAACAGAAGACACAAGACACTGAGTGGCGCCCTCGTCGGCCAAGGGACCCCCGTCGGCCGAAAAGGTGCCAACTCAGATTATGGTCCTGAGCCCAAGGAACCCGGGTGCCCTCGTCGGTCGTGCCCTCATCGGCCGTGCCCTCGTCGGCCACGCCCTCGTCGGCCACGAAGACTTCACAGAACCGGATTTTATACTTACTCATTTGTACAGCCCATTAGTGGCTTTGTATTCGGCCCAGTAGCGGTCCAGTTGTAAATGGGCCTCCCAAGCCCAAGGCTTGGGAGCTCAGCCCTAATTTTCTCTATAAATACTCCCTTTGGGAGTAGTTATAGGGGTTACAAATTCATTCTATTGAAGCATATTATTGCACTTCTCTCTCTAGCTCTCACTTCTCTCTAGATATACTCTATCAACTCCTGTTATCAATTCGATTTTGTTAAGTATCGATTAATCTGGTGAGCCGGTAAAACACAAAAAGAGTCATGTGTGCATTTGAAACTTGAATAGACTTTATTGATCAGATTTCACTACTAACGTACATATTTCATCTCTGTTAAATCTTCAGGTCCTAAGATTCCTCTTTTAACTTTCCTTTATTTCTTGTAGAACATCTTCATTCATGATCTCTAATAATCAATTTTTTATATGATTCTTACCATTTAAATATTGTTATGTATTTAATTATAAAATAATCTCAAAATTCGTTTATGTCTCTCAATCATCATCTTCAAATAATCTGTTTTTTCTTTGTCCCGCATTTATCTCTATTACATATAGTTTTCAAATAATCTTAAAATAATCTGGATTCATATTTTAATCCCAGATTATTGTAGCAAATAATCCTATTAAATAATCTATATATCACTCATTGATAATTCTCTAAAAAAACTGTCATGTCACCAATTTAATCTTGTACTCCGTAATAATCCTCCCAATGAGAATGCCCTTATCAATAGATCATCCTTGAGCTTCGATATTCAATTGGAACTGGAACAAGAGCATAGTGTACGAAAAAGAATATTTCAAAAATATATATTTTTCACGTATAATGCCATGGTCACTTAAGTACGTGTAAAAATCGAACATGAGTTAATATGATTAGTGTTACTGTCGCTACATTTAAGATGTCCTGAGTTTTTTAAATAAAAGTCATAAATATATAATTTTTAAAAAAATTAATAACCCAAGTGAAGTCTCGTTTTTAAATATGATGAGCCCGAATTCATTCAATTGAGACTCGATAACTATTACGGTTAGTTTAGAGTCTATTAGCAAATGATTGAGAATATTTGTAATTGGATTGATTTTGAAACCAGATAACATCGGATCAAATCAAATGAAAATAAACTTAAACAGATCAGATTGGACAGAATAGTTGTAAAATACACATAGTTCAGTTCAGATCAAACTTAAAGAGATCATATTAAACTAGAAATTTTCAGTCCATATAGAACATCATCATTGGTGTTTACAAAAAACATGACACATCATCCATGAGGGTCCCAAAATTGATCTGACATTTAGCTGGGAGGAAAGAGAATGAGGTTCTGATCAAATCACTTGCAGAAATCGTATGCAATTTGCTAAACCTTTCATCGTAATATATAAAATATGAAACCTTTTATTGTCAAAAAGGAGTAACTCCAGTTAAACAACCTTTCATCACAGTATGCTAGATTTGCAACTAAGACTTACCCTTACGGCATCCCCTTTTACTAGCCGAGTAACACCCCAACACTATGGATGTTTTAAATTGTACTGCAATTTTTATTATTTAACTTGGCAAATTTAAGTTTGATCTGAATTGTATGTCTGGTAAATGTCTTTAGTGTGTGTATTTTATTACTTTCAAAGTGTGTTCTTATCTCTTTAAATTTGATGTGAATGAGATAGTGTGTGTTATATGTGTCTATGAATAGCCCATAATCCTCCTACTATATACAAAAGAGAGTGGAACACCAAGTGATTTTCCCTCCGAATAGAGTCACATCAACAATATGTACATTGAAGTGGATGAATAAAAATGAAAAATGAAAGAAAATAGAGAAAGATCAATCACACTCCATAGAAGTGTAGAACCACCATTCATGCATGTTTTTGTTCCTAAAAGTTCCAAAAGTGTAGAACCACGATTGTAGTCTCATACGATTTAGGGTGATTGCAATTAAATGCTTCTTGGTGAATGAAATTAAAAGAAAAATCAAAAAAGTTATCGAGTATTTTTTTGAATACAATGTATGTAGACTATAGACCTGGGGATATTAAATGGGTGGAGTTATAAAAAAATTATTACATATAGAAAACATTTTTTTGAAAAGAAAGCTTGATAGGAAACATTATAAAAAAATACTCCATATAGACTCTCTCAAGATTATTACACTACTTGCATGACCTACTAAAGTACTATTACATTCAACGTAACATGCCATATTCATCCTACTAATTAAATCTTAATAACATTTTATTTATTTTTAAAGTACTTCTTTATCACATCACATTTCTACTGTTAAAAAATCTACTACGTAATTTTTTATAGTTCTCATACATTAATGAATAATTTACTTAAACAACTTGCAAAAAATTATTAATCTAAATACATATTAAAATTACTTTTTTACTCTGTGTTATTCCGTGTATCGCACCGGTAAAAATGAAACAATGGATCGCATGAACAAACTTCTCAATATCTACGATAATTGACTTTGAATGTAGCGAGTGTTTTTTCGTATATTAATTAATTACTACATCTACATCGACTACACTTTAAAAAAAAAGATCACACTAAGTACATGAAAATGTATAAAAATGAGTATTAAATTTCCATTCGTGTAACAAAATCCGATGATTAAGCAATAAGAAAAAGAAATAGTCTCCATTTAGAGTGGGAGGGGCTGTAATTTAATCACCCATTTAAGAAACGATTTAAGTAGTCATAAGCACGGAGAAGAGAGGGTCGAAACCTGGGAAGGTTAAGCACCACATTTTGATGATCAAGATAAACGCCCTTAGTGTAATTCCACCCCTTTCTGTTCACGCTCAAAGGGTTCGTGAAAACGACGTCGCTTTCGGCGTATTTCTTGTGCAGCGTGCTCTCATTTGCCGCGATTTTGTACCCGATGTACTTTAACCCCATCCTCACCGCCGGTTTCTCGCAGTAATTCTCCGCCGCCCAGTCTATCCCGACCGGGACGATCTGGATGAAGACGGACCCCGGCCGGAGAAACATGAAGTGCGTCAGCGCGGCGCCGTGGACTCCCACCATGGCGTCGCTGGCATTCAGAATCCTGTACATCCTCGCCAGCTCCGTCCTCCTGTCCGGCACCAGGACCTCAACCCGGAACCCGATTTCTCGGGCCAGTTCTATCGTCTTCTTTTGGTTAAGAATCATTCTTGAATCGTTCCTCGCCATTACCACCAGTCTGGGTTTCTTCCTCTCTTCCGCCGCCGGCAGAGGCGGTTCCAGTTCTTCTTCCTCTTCCACGATTTCTCTGATTCGGGTTGAATAAGCTCTGTCCAGGAAGTCTCTGAAATCTTGGATGGTCATGTTGTTTTCCGTTAAAGAAGGATCGATTTGGAGGTCTTCGTGTGCCCTTAGACCGACGACGGCTCCGGGGAAGCAATGGGTTCTGTTATCTCGCCGGAAATCTATGACTTGGTAATCGGAGAGGTGGCTGAGAATTTCGTCGTATTTGGTAACCCACCACCGGTGGTACTCCAAAATGACGAAAACGACCCTGCCCTTGAAGCTATTGGAAGTGATGAACAGGGGGACTATTCCGTCGGTGAAATCGTGGAAGAAATTCCCTGTGTATCCTCCGGTAGAGAAAAACAAGCCAGGAACGTCGTGCCGGACGTCGCAACGGTGACCGGCGCTGGAAGTTCTGATCTTTACGACGAGGTTTAGCTCGTCTATGGTGGACATGATGCTTTTCTCGCGTTTTCTGGTGTACGGTCTGACCTTTTCGCGCTGGATTACGCCGCCGTCGGTGTCGTCGGGGTTGCCGGTGAATGTTGTCCCGAACACGATAATTGATGATGATAAAGAATGTGTCCGTACGTCGCCAGCCATTGTGCATACATCAGATCTGACGAGACTTCGATCGCAGAAAATGGTCCCTGAATTTCAGAACAAAGTGAATACGGATTAGTATGGACTAAGGAGTATGTTTTCACCTTAAAATATCAAATGTACACACCCCAATTTTGTTTGTGAGATAGATAAAAAATTTCGAGTCCGTTTTTTATTCAATTGTACAAAGGTTTATCACTCATTTTTTCCTAAACACTTCCTACCTCTGTCTCTAAAAGATCTTTGAATTGTGAGTTATGTTTGATAACAATAAAGTTAAATGATCCTTGTCAAAATTTAGATTATTTTTAGTAAACAAAATTTACATATTCAGAAACTACAATAAAAGCGCTACAAAGCTTGCAAAACATAATTCAATTTTCATAAAATTTTGATATATAAAATAAAAGATTAAGAGTGATTTAAGTTGATCCTCGAAAAGCAAAATGGAAGATCTTTCAGAGACGGATGGAGTCATTTTTTATTTCTCGCGCTAAATAGAGTAATAATAAGAAAAAATAAGGTTGAAGTTACTTTTCTCTCTACATTGGCTGAAATTACCGTAGAAAATCATGTTAGCTATTTTTTATATAATTTTCAACATGTAGAAAATCATGTTAGCAAAAAATAGTTAATCTAACCACTTCAACCAGAACTTTATAAATTTCAACATAATCAATCAATATTGCCGATTTTGATATTACCAAACGGACTCTATATGTAGTAATCAAAGAACTGATTTTCAAATTATTTTCAACAAAAAGTTCTTCAATTTCAAGAGATTTGATCAATTTATTTAATTTTAATGTTCAAATATTGTGCTCGTAAAATCAAAATGGAACATGAGATCATTTAAAGAATGATCCTACAAATGTAAATGTAAGCTTCACAATGTCAAAAGCACTAAAAGAAAATAAGTTACCAACCGTTGAACACAATGTCAAAAGCACTAAAGAGAATAAGTTACCAACCGTTGAACACAATGGAATGAATAGATGCTTCTTTAAAAGAAGGTGTCTCATCGTCAAACCTAATAGAATCTGCATCAATATATAAGAAAAACTGCGGTTTTAGAATAGAAAAAATCATTTGTACACGTTCTTATACACATCAGTACAATTCCGTGTCTGTGAGAGTATTTTTTTGTCTGTGAATCCCAATCGACAGACAAAATTTTCCACAGACAAAACAAGTCGATTTTGTCTGTGAACTGGGATTTTTGTCTGTAAAGAAAACTTCTTACAGACACGGAGGTGTACTGGTTTGTATAAGACTGTGTACACCAAAATTTTTTGTTTAGAATATGCATCTTTAGTAATCCAAATTTCTACCCAAAAAATCAGAACTTTCATAATTAAGATGGAGCAGCATACCAAGAACCTTATAGACTTTGATGACATTATGTGACACTTTTGAAGAGAATGTCATTTAGCAGAGAACATATATTATAAATATTATCGATACTCATCTCAGTAAAAAATGTTGACATTTTACACAGAATAGATACTATTATAGGTTAGAAAACACAACAAAAATTTAGGAATAGCTAGACTATATACGTACACAAGAGGGAGACTGCTGGAGAAGCGATGAAGAGTTGTGCTGCTAAAATAAAGCTGAACGAGATGAAAGAGAGAAATAAAAGATACAAAAACTTGGGTTTTGTTATGTTCACATGATTATTATTATTACTATAAGTGTAGTCTTCATCACCATCGCCATTGTCCTCTTTCTTCATCAATTGGTAACCTCTATGGTAATGCACCATTTTTTTCCTGTAAATGTACGTTTCTTAGTGCATGTGATTATTATATATCTACTCATCTAATTAATCTAATGATTTATAGGTAACAGTGTATGTGTGAAGAAAAAACATAGACGGTACAATACTCTTCAGGAACATTGTACGAAACATTGCATATATATATGGAGAAAACTGTCTTTTGTATAAGTGTACACACTTTATTGTTGTTTACACTTTTTTACATGCATGTGTTTTGTCTGTTACAAACCAAAAAAATAGCCTTAAAGCAGGGGAAGATCTACTATGGTGGGCTGAAGCCTAGGGTAAACTGATTTTTCCCATTTTTTAGTGTAATTTTTTTTTTCATATTTAGCCCATCTCTATAATGTTTAAATCTAGTGTAATTTCTCTTTAGCCCAAGGCATCTCAAAGACTTGGATCCATCTCTACTTAACAGGCATATGAAAAATGTGTGCAGGACTAAAGTGGTAAAACAAGAATTGTTGATATATGGAACACTATCATGGTTGAATATATATATTCTGGTACATAGCTTGTCTAACTTGAATTATGTCTTGTTTGGTCTAATTTTAATTGGAATATTGCAATTAAATTCGATTAGATATCACGTTAATGAAACTACAAGAAATAGAAGTAAAAAACAAAGCTTCTCTAAATTGTGGCCGGCCGTGGGCCCTATTTCATATGTATTATTCTTATTTAGAGAATTTTCTCGTATTCAATTTTAGTTTGGTTCAGTCAAAGTCTGTTTTAAATGTAATTCTGTTAAGTGAATATATCATTATGTTGGTTTTCGACATATCTAATACATCGGAAGAAATAAATAAATAAAATTATAAGTGAAACAACAGGCTCAGAGGCTTGATCAACTCACAATATCAATGAAATTACATGACAAGCTTACTTAGAGGATTTCATATTCATGTACCGTGTGAGAAGATCTAATCAAAGCTTCCAATCATGTTCTACTGGTATTCACACGTTCACGAATAGATTATTTGTAGTTATTACATGACAAGCTTATTTAGAGGATTCCATATTCATGTACCGCGTGAGAAGATCTAATCACGGTTTCCAATCATGTTCTACTGGTATTCACACGTTCACGAATAGATTATTTGTACCTAGCGTACTATTACTTTCTTTCTATATGATATGATCATGTAAATATATGCATTTATATTTTAACTTTGAGTGAATGCATTAAAATAAGGCGAATGAAGGAGAGGGGAATGTTGAGTTTCGGAGAGAAAAATGCAGAGGAAAAATGAAAAATTCTTTTTCATAAAATTATCGAATAGATCTGAGTTTCTTACTATAAATGAAATTACATAAAATTGAGTGACTTACATTGCAAACTCAAAGCAAGGATGTCAGAAAGTCCGAGAAAACGAACCCGAGCTCTACCAGTATTCACACGCACGTGATTGGATCTTCCACAAGGAACATGCTATCATTCTCTTCTCTCTCCGTATCTCTCTCTCTCTTTCTCTCTGTCTCTCTATCTGTCTCTATCTCACGGTTTCTATGTGATAGATCTGAAAAATCACTCACTTTCATGGCTAACCTTAGCAACTTCTGAAATAAGGCTATTAAACATCCGCAAATAATTCATAAATTATGATTGTCCTAGGGCATATTTTGAACTTTCTCTCACTTTCACTAGGATAAATCGTGAACAAAACGAATGCCCGATGTACTAGTATGACGTTCATCCTTTGCTTTCGATAGTGGCTTAGTGAGTGAGTGCCAACACTTAAGTCGTTGTGTGCCTCAAAATAATAAATACAATACTTGCACTAATACCATACTATAGTATCCACAGGGAAAAGAATACTTCTTGTTTAATTAAATAGTAACAAATGGGGGTCTTAAGATTGTTCTTGATTTAATTCATTTAACACTAAGATGAACGGCTTATGTGGTTTAATAAAATAGAGATTGAGACTTGGTTTTGCATATATCCACTTAGGGGTGGGCGCGGTCCGGAACGGTCCGGTAAATTTGTAAAACCCATAATGTATCTGTGATGTTTTTAACGGTCCGGTACGGTCCAGTTCCAACGATAGAACCGTTCGGTACCATGTCGTTTCGGAACGGTACAAAACGGTACGGTACAATGCCAAACACATGCTAAATTTTTTGAAGACATCTTGCAATTAGTAGATATCATCACACCAACCAACTCACATGACATGTTGAAATAAATACAAGAAATTGCATACCTAGTACTAAAATTCACAAATACACAAATAGTGCGACACAACTAAGAAAAAGTATAGCAAAACGATGACGCACGAGATAAATATCATTTTTAATTTACTAAATTCATGTGAAAATATAAAAACGAATATCATCAAATTGTTTAATATAATAGAAATCTTCAACGTTCTTCTTCTTCATTCTAGGTTAAATATTACTCCGTAGTTCTAATATAATTTATAGTTGAACCTTGAGAGCTAAGATTTAAACCATATTAATTAAGTTGTAAAAAATGCACAAATATGATACAACAAAAAGTCATGTACACTACATTACTAGAAATAAATAATCATTAATGATTTCTGAAATTTTAATATTGTTTCAATACATACCAAAATATAACATAAATTATCTAAAAAGAAAAACTAACAATATATATATATATATATTGTTCTATAGATTTTGAAAACCAAAAAATGTTGGACCGAACCGTTCGTAAATAATGCATTTGAAATTTTTATATTTTTCTATATCAATAGATCTAGACCAACAATTTTTCTATATTTTTCTATATCAATAGATATATCTTAGGGACACATTAATACATACTTGGGGTATAAAATTTTTGGTCTAGATCTATTGATATAGAAAAATATAAAAATTTCAAATGCATTATTTACGAACGGTTCGGTCCAACATTTTTTGGTTTTCAAAATCTAGGACCGGTCCCGTGCCCATTTGAAATGATACGGTTTTGGTACGGGATAAAAATCTATAGAACCGTTTAAATACCCGGTATTCGGTTTGGTACCATTACGGGACGGTTTGGTACCGGTTCAGTTCGGATTTTATGCCCACTCCTATATCCACTTAATGAAATGTTCATCGATCCTCTCGAATACTCTCAATCGTGGAGTATCTCCAATTCATCGAGAGTTGTTATTAATAACGAGATGTGTTCATTAATAAAAATTAATATCAAGTCAATATAGAACACGCACCGTATTTTGAACCGATAGTAGCAATAAAACTTAAGATGAAATCCATTGAGATTGATAACCTCAACACAAGCGGTTTATTGGTTTAATCAATATAATTGATAATTGATTCCCCTTAGATTATTAACCACGAGACGCATGCATTAATAATCCAAGATTACTACCGTGAAAGGATCGAACAATTAACTAGGGGTGGGCACATCCCGGGACGGAACGGGAATTGTGTTGTCCTGGTACCGAACCCGGTTTATAATAAC